AGACACCATCCATGATACATTGCAAGGCAAAGCAACGGCCCACTCAATGAATGCTGTTGCCTGCTGTAATGTTTCAAGAGCGTTTGTGGAGTACTACAAGCCGCTATCCCGATGAATGTCGCAACGTCATCCGCACACTCCTCCCCGACGCGTTTTGTCACCAGTCATATGACTTTATCAAGTCAAATTATATATATATATATATTTTTTTTTCCAATATTAATATTTTTTCTACTATTTTTTCTTCTAATATATATTTATTTCTTCACTTTTCTTTTTTGGTTATATAATGGTTTGTACCATTGTTTCATGTAGCACAATATATATGTAAAGCGCTGCGTAAATTGACGGCACTATATAAGTACCTGAAATAAATAAATAATACACATTTATTCTGGGTTCTTTACAGCCAGTCACCCGTCTCCCTCCCCTCCACTTGGCAGACCCACAAGGTAGCACAGGAGAGCCCAAGGAGCATTGCATGGTGGGGGGTTGTGCGGGGGGGGGGGCACACCAATGGATACAAGACATACTTTGGTGGCCATAACAGGGTTAAAATATGTAGGTGCATTTCCTCTACCAGAAATCGTTTAAAATCATTTTGCAGCACATATTTTTAAAACATCATACTTTAAAGTGGTTGTAAACCTCAGACCTGAAATATGAACAAAGCTTATCCCTCTATAGCAGGGGTCTCCAAACCATGGCCCTCCAGGTGTTGAGGAACTGCAAGTCCCATGAGGCCTTGCAAGACTCTGACAGCCACAGGTAAGACTCCCAGTGGCAGAGGCATGATAGTACTTCAACAGCTGGAGGGCCATAGTTTGAAGACCCCTGCTCTATAGTGTATACTTCTCTCAATCCACAGCACTAAGTGTCATTTCTGTCTGCTACTTCCTTCCTCTGCTATCAGCATGAATAGCTTCTGACAAGGTTTCCTGACTGAAAAAGAAAAATGGTGGCAGGGGAGGGACCTCCAGCAGACAACCTCAGCGTTGTTCCTGTGAGCTGTGTGGAGGGGGTGTGTCCTTTCCCACCAATCAGCATTCAAAACGCTCCTCACTGAGCTCTGCAGTTTAACTTCAGCTGTCTGCCCCCTTTTTTCTGAACTCTCAGACAAGCTTTACAATTCAGCACTTTGAATGTAGAGAAGAGAATACTGTAGATAAACAGGTACAACTTATGTAGGAGAATTTGTTTCAATCACTTCACTGGGTATACATGAGGGTTTACAACCACTTCAAATTAAGATGAAGAACAAAGAAAAGTATGATAACAGCAGGTGGAACAACATACACTATATTGCCCAGCCCTCCAAATCATGTGATTCAGGTGTTCCAATCACCTCCATAGACACAGGTGTATACAATCAAGCCCCTAGGCATGAAAATTGCTTGTACAAACATTGGTGAAAGAATGGGTCGCTCTCAGGAGCTCAGTGACTCCAAGCGTGGTACCGTGAAAGGTGGCCACCTGTGCAATAAGTCCATCCGTGACATTTCCTGGCTACTAAATATTCCACGCTCAACTGTTAGTGGGATTATAACAAAGTGGAAGCAACTGGGAACAACAGCAACTCAGCCACCAAGTGGTAGGCCACGTCACATGACAGAGTGAGGTCAGCGCATGCTGAAGCGCACAGTGCGCAGAAGTCACCAACTGTCTGCAGAGTCAATAGCTAAAGACCTCCAAACTTCATGTGGCCTTCAGATGAGCCCAACAACAGCATGTAGAGAGCTTCATGGAATGGGTTTCCATGGCCGAGCAGCTGCATCCAAGCCTTACATCACCAAGTGCAATGCAAAGTGTTAGATTAAATGGTGTAAAGCACGCTGCCACTGGACTCTAGAGCAGTGGAGATGTGTTCTCTGAAGTGACAAATCTCTCTTCTGTCTGGCAATCCCATGGACGTGTCTGGGTTTGGCGGTTGCCAGGAGAACGGTACTTGCCTGACTGCATTGTGCCAAGTGTAAAGTTTGGTGGAGGGGGGATTATGGTGTGGGGTTGTTTTTCAGGGGTTGGCGCGCTTGGCCCCCTAGTTCCAGTGAAGGTGTCAGCATACCAAGATATTTTGGACAATTTCATGCTCCCAACTTTGTGGGAAGAGTTTGGGGATGGCCCCTTCCTGTTCCAACATGACTGCACACCAGTGCACACAGCAAGGTCCATAAAGACATGGATGAGCCAGTTTGGGGTGGAGGAACTTGACTGGCCTGCACAGAGTCCTGACCTCAACCCCATAGAACACCTTTGGGATGAATTAGAGCGGAGACTGCGAGCCAGGCCTCCTCCCCCGACATCAGTGCCTGACCTGACAAATGTGCTTCTGGAAAGGTCCTTGCATGCTGACAGATGAGGTAGAAGCAAGTGAGTATGGGGTTCTGCTTTAAATTCATTAAAAAAATCAATAAAAAAATGAAACACAGATCCATGCATTCACATCTAAACACCTGTATTAGTAGTTTTATTGAACTGCTATTAAAACATGAAGAAACCCCCTCCTTTACTACTTGTTTTCAAGCTTTTCTGCTCCTCTCCCGATATAAGTCCACTATGTGGGTGTTACTAATGGCCAGCTTAGTTGCCACTGCATTGGTCCTGACGAAGCTGAGTGAGATACGCCCATCGGCGAAACGCGTTGACGTCATACGTCAGATACGTCACTTCCGGTCATGCGCACTAGGTGGAACGCACGCTGACCTACAACGAGGAAGCCATCTTCACATGCCATGAGGCAAGCTTAAGCAGCACAGGCGCCGAGAAGAGGTCGGAACCCGCGGTATATCGGCTGATGTCAGCGGTGGTTCCCTGGCCTCCTTGGCCTTGCATGGCAGTACTTATGAAGGACATCTTTTCCTCTCCTATTATCCATTGCACAGGTGGTGAGTGGACTGTTACAGGACACTAGATATATGGTCCTATGTGATCTATATGACCTATACATCTCACATAGAGTGAAAGCTCCTCCAGTGACTTTCCACATATTGTTTGTTTCACTACAGGATGGGGACATCATGGTGCTTTTCATAGGAAACAAGATATACCACGTGTATCTCAATAGGCAGAAGATCTATTGGGATTTGTCTTGTTTTTCTTACAGAAAGTGGTGTGTAGTCCACATACAGTGGTGAAGAAACCATTTCAAGCAGTGCTCTGCTTTTTGCATCTATCCTTCCATCCTGGTAACAAATGGGGCTTATTCTCATTTAAGAGCCCTAGGAAACAGTCGCTTATATTACAGATGAATGGGCCCCAACCACATGTGCCGGCATATGAATGTACTGCATTTTATATATGACATTCATTTTTTGTCTCATATAGGCCTAGAGGCATGCCTCCCTTTTTGACGCATACTGTGCTTGCTGCATTGCATACATGTGATATTTTATATCTATAGTATAATTTTTTTGAAACTCCCTGCTTGGGATATAACCATTATGGTAGTAGCAATTGTCTACATATTTACAACATGATATATGGTATACCTATGGTATAATTTTTGCATACACCTCCTGTGGGAAGTGTTCACCTATGCGCCAGTGCTACAGGGACTTTAGACTCTAGTAGTCACTGTCTTTGTTGCACATGTATTTAGACCGGTCTTGGTGTCATTTTATATGGTTTTAGGTCTGTGTGTATTGTCTCATACTGAGGTGATGGTAAACCAGGGCGATTGCCCAAATGTCAAATTTGTATGTGTAATAAAGCATCATTTTTGGAAATTTTTCTGAGTATCACATTCTGTTCATAATGTAGCCACTTTCTCTGTGAATTTCTTTTCACAACCCCCCTTTTTTTGCATGTCTTTTTTGGCTACTGAATGGAGGCCATCTACTGGGTGATATGGTAATTTACTTTACAACCTCTTAATAACTATCTTTAACTTAGTTGCCACTGCGCCCTATTCCATTGGTGTACCTGAGGGAAGGGGCATGTCAGCTAGAGGCTCCCACCCAGTACCCCTGTTCCACCCTGTATGTAGGACCATGCTACACTGCTACACATTGTTATTGGTTGCTAGGTTGCAGATGGCTGGGATTCCTGCATCCTAGCAATGAAGGATGCTGTGTGTCTCCCCTGTACATGGCAATATGCTTTGTAGGACCATGCTGCACAGGGTCATTGGTTGCTAGGGTGCAGAGGGCTGGGCTTCCTGCATCCTAGCAACAAAGGATGCTGTGTGTCTCCCCTGTACATGGCAATATGCTTTGTAGGACCATATTGCACAGGGTCATTGGTTGCTAGGGTGCAGAGGGCTGGGCTTTCTGCATCCTAGCAATGAAGGATGCTGTGTGTCTCCCTGTACATGGCAATATGCTTTGTAGGACCATGTTGCACAGGGTCATTGGTTGCTAGGGTGCAGAGGGCTGGGCTTCCTGCATCCTAGCAACCAAGGACGCTGTGTGTCTCCCCTGTACATGGCAATATGCTTTATAAGAACTTGCCGCACAAAGTTATTGGTTGCTAGGGTGCAGACGGCCGGTCTTCTTGCTTCTTAGCAAACAGGGGCGCTGTGTGTCTCCCCAGTAAATGGCAATATGATTTGTAGCATAGGGCTGCACAGGGTCATTGGTTGCTAGGGTGAGGACAGCCAGGCTTCCTACATCCTAGCAATCAAAGTCACTGTGCAGCTCAGTAAGTAGTTATTTAATTCAATCTGCAGCTGTCACCTCCAGCCCATTTCATTCCCTACATTCCTGGTTATCTTGTTCCTAGTGGATACGGACTTCCGTCCCTGACAGCAGCTCTCTGCAATGTGTGTCCCTGGTCTTTGTGAATTCATATTTTTATACATTCACCCAGCTGTACATCTGTCTTTACTCTCTGCTTCTCTGCTCTCTTCTAGCCTGCCGACTTGTTTGAAATGATTGAGAAAATGCAGGTAAGTGACTATATTGTACATATTGTGTAGAAGGAAGCACGGGTTAGTTCCAGCCAGGCTTATGAGATCATCGTGCGATGGATTACTTACCCCATGTGTGAGTGATGGGTGGGGGGAGATGACCCTTACATTGGGGATCAGTACAAAAAATGGCCCTTGCCATGGTGGAGAGTGGGAAGAATGCCCTTACATTGGTGATCAGTGGGAATAATACCCTTAAATTGGTGGTCAGTGGGAATAATACCCTTAAATTGGTGGTCAGTGGGAATAATACCCTTACATTGGTGGTCAGTGGGAAGAATGTCCCTTACATTGGTAGTCAGTGGGAAGAATGTCCCTTACATGGGGGTCAGTGGGAATAATACCCTTTACATTGGTGGTCAGTGGTAAGAATGTTTCCTTACATTAGTGGTCAATGGTAAGAATGCCCCTTACATTGGTGGTCAGTGAGAAAAATGCCCCTTACATTGGTGGACACAGTGAGAAGAATTCTGCTTCTTACATTGGTGGACATTGAAAAGAATGTTTCTTAAATCAGTGATCAGTGGGAAGAATCCCCCTTACATTGGTGGACAATGGGAAGAATGCCCCTTACATTGGTGTTCAGGGTGAAGAATGTCCTTTACATTGGTGGACAGTAGGAATGATGCCCTTTACGTTGTTGGTCAATGGGAAGAATGTTTTTACATTAGTGGTCAATGGAAAGAATGCCTTTACATTAGAGGTCATCAGAAAGATTGCTCCTTATATTGGTGGTTAGTGGAAGAATGCCCTTACATTGGTGGCCATTGTAAGAATGCCCCTTACATTGGTGATCAGTGTGAAAAACGTCCCTTACATTGGTGGACAGTAGGAATTATGCCCTTTACGTTGGTGGTCAGTGGGAAGAATGTTCTTCCATTAGTGGTCAATGGAAAGACTGCCTTTACATTAGAGGTCAGCAGGAATATTGCTTCTTATATTGGTGGTCAGTGGAAGAATGCCCTTATATTGGTGGCCATTGGTAAGAATGCCCCTTAAATTGGTGGTCAGTGAGAAGAATGCCCTTTACATTGGTGGGCAGTGGGAAGAATGCCCCTTACATTGGTTGACAGTGAGAAGAATGTTTCTTAAATTGGTGATCAGTGGGAAGAATGTTTCTTCTTACATTGGAGGTCAGTGGGAAGAATGTCCCTTACATTGGTGGACAGTAGGAATGATGCCCTTTACGTTGGTGGTCAGTGGGAAAAATGTTCTTACATAAGTGGCCAATGGAAAGAATGCCTTTACATTAGGGGTCAGCAGGAAGATTGCTCCTTATATTGGTGGCCATTGTAAGAATGCCCCTTACATTGGTGATCAGTGAGAGGAGCATCCCTTACATTGGTGGACAGTAGGAAGAATGCCCCTTACACTGGTTGTTAGTAGGAAGACTGCTCCTGCATTTGTGGTCATTGGTAAGAATGCTTCTTACATTAGGGGTCAGCAGGAAGATTGTTCCTTATATTGGTGGTCAGTGGAAGAATGCCCCTTACATCGGTGATCAATAAGAAGAATGCCCCTCACATTGGTTGTTAGTAGGAAGACTGCTCCTTGCATTTGTGGTCATTGGTAAGAATGCTTCTTACATTGGTGGTCAGTGGGAGGAATGCCGCCTTTAATATAGCTTGAAAACATCCTTGGTTGCTTTTCTGAGAGGTAGAAATTACTTGTTCAAGGGACCCCTAGCAACCACTGGAGGAACCCGAGCTAAGAAAGGCTGGTGTAAATGTTAAAGTATTTTTTTTTCCTTTTTGTGTTGCTATCTGCCTTGCACCTTAATAATATACCTTGCTTTGTTTCAGTGCACCCGCTTAGAAGACCAGCGCTGTGTTCTCCCCTCTCCTATGAAGGTTGGGTCACTACTTGCACCATTCATGTTAGCTACTTTTGACATATAAAGTGTATCCGCATCCAATCTTTCAATTTAAGTTTTGGATAGAGTGTGGAAGGTATAGAACCCCTGGTAGGTTTTCATTGCTGTCTTTGTCTTCACTCGGGAGATTCAGCCTCCCTATTTTTCCTGGACACCATTATTACTATGAATTAAAATAGAACAAGTAGGCAAAACATTTTGTTTTCCATTTTGGATAGAATAAGGGAGGGATATAACCTCTCTCAGTTTTTTATTGCCACATGTCCCACTGAGGAGGTTTACCTTCACTTCCTGTCCCATAGCCAAAACATGAAGTGAGAGCAGATCCCTGCTAATTAACCCTCTGAGGACCATAAGATTTTGGAACGCCAAAAGAATCAATTTTTTTGTTTTTAAAGTTCGTACACTTCAGTTGCTGTAACTAAGCCATTTCATGAAATAATTGGCAAAAAGCTAGATCCATTTGTTGTTTGTTGATAGGAACTAATATTTTGACTCAAACCAAAAAAAAAAAAAGAGAGTTTTAAGTTCTTAATCAGATGATACACATAATTAAAAACATGGGACAAATACGTCCCTTGGTCCTCAAAAGGGTTAAGGGCATTCCTTGGGGGCCCCCAGGTCACCAGAACTAGTAATTCCATTAGAAGGTTTCCTCTCTATTATTTTTCTGGGGGCAATCCAAAATTTGGGATTTTCTCTAACTTTCACTTTCAGTGATGAAATTTCAGGTGAATCTCCCTAACGGGGGCACAGACATCAATTAAAACCTGATAGGTGTTAATGATCCATCTCCACTTTATCCAAACCCCCTAAAAATGTTGTCATTGGTTCTACTTTAAATTGGAAATAATACAAGCTTTATATAAGAAGAGATTATTAACAGTACATACATTCAATGTACAAGCAGGGATTATCAGCAAAGTGTCCGACAAGAGTGCAGGTGGAATCGTACACATATACCCGGGTATATATAGTTCTTAATAGAGATTCCTCCAGATGAATGTTGCAGAAAGGCCAGTTGCAGGGGCCCCTGAGAATGTTCATAATGTGGTGTCCATCTTCGTGTTAGAGATCTGAAGACAAGATCAGTGGTGATGGGAAGATCCTCCAACTGTTGTCCAACCAGCCTGGAATGCAGCTTCTCACACGCAGAGACTGTGGTGTGGCACTGGAATTCAAAATCAGCCTGTCTACTCTGTATGTTAGTCCTTTCCTAGTCATTTCTAATCTGACATGCAACCGGACCTCTAACTACCAGAAGTGGCCACCAGATGGCTAAGCTGGCTCTAGCCTATGCTGGTTATCAAGCCCTAAGTTAAAACTAGCTGTAAAATCCCATACCAGAAGGGACAGGGTTAAATAACAGGAGCTGTATACATAAACTCTATTGGAATAAACAGGTTCACCTACTAATATACTAAAAGGTGATCACTACACACATTGAGTATGACAGAACTAGCTGTCTGGTGCTTGTGAGATAATAACAATAGGACAGAGATACTCTGTCTATCACAAAGATTTAGATACACACTCAAGAAGATATGGACAGCTTCAGCTAAACTATTAGATCATAGGAATACTTGCCTAATAGTCTCTGCTGATCTGGGTAAAAATACAGCAGCAGTATGGCTCAGCTCTCTGTCTATCTCTCCACTTTTTTTTCTGGGGTTTTCTGACCCAGACTCACAGAGACAGGAAGTGATGTACATAATCTCTGAGAATATTACGCAGCAGAGCCATTTACAGAAAGTAGAAGGCAGGGGACCCCTACAACCATTTCAAAGTCATTTTTCAGTTGTTATGAATAATCACCATATTTTATTTATTACAAATACTTATATAGCACTGTCAACAGCCCTTTACATATATATTGTACATTCACATCAGTCCCTAATCCTCAAGGGGCGTACAATCTAAGGTCCCTAACTCACATTCATACACATACATAGACAGGAGCTATTATCCTACCAGCATGTCTTTGGAGTGTGGAAGTATAATCAATGCGGCAGCACAGTGGCTAAATGGTTAGCACTTCCACCTGGCAGTACTATGGCTGTTGGTTCAAACCAAAGACATGCTGATAGGTTAATTGGCTCCTGTCTAAATTGGCCCAGTCTGCTAGATCAACTTTTGTAGCACATACCAGGGACAATTTAGACAGGAGCCAATTAACCTACCAGCATGTCTTTGGAGTGTGGGAGGAAACTGGAGTACCTGGAGGAAGCCCACACAGGCACAGGGAGAACATGCAAACTCCAGGCAGGTAGTGCCATGGTTGGGATTCAAACCAACAACCCCAGTCCTGCCAGGCGGAAGTGCTAACCATTTAGCCATTGTGCTGCCCAGTTACCTACCAGCATGTCTTTGGAGTGTAGGAGGAAACTGGAAAACCTGGAGGAAAGCCACAGAGGGTGAACATGCAAACTCCAGGCAGGTGGTGCTGTGGTTGGGATTCAAACCAGCGACCTTAGTACTGCCAGGTGGAAGGATGAACCATTTAGCCACTGTGCCACCTGTATTGGATATGTGTATATATATTTATTTCCTATGATTGTCAGCTCCATCCAGCTGATGTAACGCAGTATGTTCCCGAAATAACCCAACCAGGCAAAAATCTGCATTATGGCCACTAGATGGAGCTGACATGATAGGAAATAAACAGATGCATTATGGGGATTATTCAGGATGGGTGTACGAAGTGTTTGACATTTTCTCAGTGAATTTTATAAAATAGACCTCTTAAAGAAGATGTAGAATCTTATCATTTTCAATCTTTTTAAATCTACATCCTGTGATCCTGCCATGAATGTCCTTGTTTGGGCACTTCCTGTTATAGGGTGACAACACTCTGTCCCTGCCTCCCAGTCATGCTCCTGCGTTGTCACCCTGACTTCTGAAGTGAGAAGTGGACTTTTTAACACCCATTACACAGGTGGTCCACTGGTATCACCATCAGGAAACCCACTCTGAAAAATGCCATGCAGCCATTGCTGGAGTGCAGTGATGTTTTTAGGTTTTGTGCTGCCCTAGGCAACACAAAAATCGTCTGCCCCCTATGGACACCGACCAACACCACCCCCTCCTTCCCCTTCCCGTGGAGAGAGCTCGACATTGACCAACAACACCCCTGCCGACCACCTGGCAGAGCCTTTGACTACCCCCCCCCACTCCTCTTCACAGTCTGGACATTCCCGGGAACAAGAGTCAGGCTCTAAATACACCATCAAGCAGCCCGCGCAGCCTCTCTCAGATCCCACCTGGTTCCCATGGCGCACGTGTCCCTTCTCTCATTCCTTCTTCTGGGGGAAGGTGCTGCCCCCTTGAAAAATGCCGCCCTAGGCAAGTGCCTTGTTTGCCTTGTGGTTCATACACCCCTGCTGGAGTGCATGGAAACAGGAAGTGGCTGCAAATGGGGAGCAGGAGATCGACAATGCTTACATTCAGCAAAGGATAAAAATGGTGAAATCAGTATTTTATTGAAGCCAAATAAACATTTTTTAGGATTCACGGTGCATTAGCAAACTAAATGGCGATGCGTAAGGGTTTATATGTAGTTTAATATTTATTTGTAAAACAAAGATGTATTATAAAGGTTTATAAAAAGCAAAAAAATGGATATAAAACTTTTTTTTTAAGATTTTAACCAAAAACAGTAATTCATATTTTTTTCGGTTTTTTTTAAATATATGTTTGTTTTTCCAGAGAAAGGGGAGGAGAAAAGCTGCACCCCGGCATCCAGAGGTAAGTAGCAAGCGAATTTGCAGCTCTGCTACTCCTGATGAGGATACTACATGCGTGTGCATTACTTGTTCTGTGCAGCCATAGTAAGGCCCAGGAACAATAGTGCACATTTTGCATTTTTTTTATCCTACCTAAACAAACTGACACTATTGCAGGCCATAGACGGGTCAAAAATCGGCCGATTTTTCTTTAAAAAAATGAAAAATCGGTCATTCAAGCGGCCGACGTTACCAGCAACGGTAACAAAAATCGGCCGATTTTCATCCCGTCTACAGCCGCCAAAAAGTGTCCCTGCAGAGAGCTTCGCTATTTCTTTGACAGTTCCTTGACATTTATAGCGGTTGCAACAATGTATCTATTTGTATCCATTAAGGATACAGATGTTTTTATTCGGAAACAAATAGATACAATGTTGCAACCGCTATAAATGTCAAGGAACTGTCAAAGAAATAGCGGAGCTCTCTGCAGGGACACTTTTTGCCGGACTGGAATTCCTCCTCTTCTTCATCCTCTTCTTCTTCATCCTCTTCTTCCTCTTCTTCATCTTCCTCTTCTTCTTCATCCTCTTCTTCATCCTCCTCTTCTTCTTCATCCTCTTCTTCTTCTTCTTCATCCACTTCTTCTTCTTCTTCTTCTTCTTTTTCATCCTCTTCTTCATCTTCCTCTTCCTCTTCTTCTTCATCCTCTTCTTCCTCTTCTTCTTCATCCTCTTCTTCATCTTCCTCTTCTTCATCTTCCTCTTCTTCTTCATCCTCTTCTTCATCCTCTTCTTCTTCTTCTTTTTCATCATCTTCTTCTTCTTCTTTATCCTCTTCTTCATCCTCTTCTTCATCTTCCTCTTCATCCTCTTCTTCATCCTCTTCTTCTTCTTCTCCTTCTTCATCCTCTTCTTCATCTTCCTCTTCTTCTTCATCCTCTTCTTCATCTTCCTCTTCTTCTTCACCCTCTTCTTCTTCTTCATCCTCTTCTTCATCTTCCTCTTCATCCTCTTCTTCATCTTCCTCTTCTTCATCCTCTTCTTCTTCTTCATCCTCTTCTTCTTCTGTATCTTCATCCTCTTCTTCTTTCATCCTCTTCTTCATCCTCTTCTTCTGCTTCTTCATCCTCTTCTTCATCCTCTTCTTCATCCTCTTCTTCTTTTTTCTTCTTTTTGTCTTCCTCTTGCAGGTCACTGCTCATGCGTTGGTTTTTTTTTATCGGTAAAAGATTGGCCAATTTGCCCATCATTGCTGTGAAAATCGGCCGTTTTTTTTTCCAACTTTACCGATAAAAAAAATCTGCCAAAATACCGAAAAACAGCCGAACATTTAGCCCACTAACGATCCGAAAATCGGGCGATTTTATTTCAGGCCGAAAAATCGGCCGATTTTCGACCCATCTATGGCCTGCACAAGGGGTCTATTTAAAAAACAATAATTGGACGAAGGTGCCGAGCATTTGCCCATCCATGATGAATTCTGACCATGTTTTTCTTAATATGCTCATCAGCACCATCTAATGGCCATAATCTGGTATCTTTTTTGCTGCATCATGGCCACTCCATGGAACTGACAAGCTCACAATCAATAAGGTGAAAATCTATCAAGGATGAGCATATGCTTGTCACATTCGTCCAACAATTTTTAAAAATTGTTTTATTTATTTGTGTTTAAAGTGTTCCTAAACCCACAACAGTACAATCAGTCTGTAGATGCAGTAAAGCATGCTTGTTATACTCACTGTGGAACCTAAGGGGTTAATCCTCTGCATTGTGTAAAAAGGCTGTTTGATCCTGTCTTCTCTGCCCCTCCTCTTGTTGAATTGTCCACCTGATACAGACTGAATCTGTAGTCACTCTGCACATGCTCAGTTTGGTGTGTATTGCTAGAGAGGTTTTTTTTTTGTTGTTGTTGTTCTTGGGATAGTGCATGTGATCAGCACTGTCCAGACAGAGGGTGAGGGGACTGACATCCTCCTAGAGCAGAAATAACAGTCCTCCTACTAGCTTTAACCAGTGCTCTGCTGAAGTCACAAGACTACTCTAACTGCTGATGAGAAAAGGCATTTAGCAGTTTATATTTACTAAAATAATTGCATTTCCACGTTGTGTGTACTGTGAGAGACCAGATATAGTGAATGCAGGGTCCGGGGAGACCAGATATAGTGAATGCAGGGTCCGGGGAGGCCAGATATAGTGAATGCAGGGTCTGGGGAGACCGGATATAATGAATGCAGGGTCCGGGGAGACCGGATATAGTGAATGCAGGGTCCGGGGAGACCAGATATAGTGAATGCAGGGTCCGGGAGACCAGATATAGTGAATGCAGGGTCCGAGGAGACCAGATATAGTGAATGCAGGGTCCGGGAGAGCGGATATAGTGGATGCAGGGTCCGGGGAGACCGGATATAGTGAATGCAGGGTCCGGGGAGAGCAGATATAGTGAATACAGGGTCCGGGGAGAGCAGATATAGTGAATGCAGGGTCCGGGGGAGAGAGCAGATATAGTGAATGCAGGGTCCGGGGAGACCAGATATAGTGAATGCAGGGTCCGGGGAGACCAGATATAGTGAATAAAGGGTCCGGGGAGAGCAGATATAGTGAATGCAGGGTCCGGGGAGACCGGATATAGTGAATGCAGGGTCTGGGGAGACCAGATATAGTGAATGCAGGGTCCGGGGAGACCAGATATAGTGAATGCAGGGTCCGGGGGAGAGCAGATATAGTGAATGCAGGGTCCGGGGAGACCGGATATAGTGAATGCAGGGTCCAGGAAGACCAGATATAGTGAATGCAGGGTCTGGGGAGACCAGATATAGTGAATGCAGGGTCCTGGAGACCAGATATAGTGAATGCAGGGTCCGGGGAGAGCGTATATAGTGAATGCAAGGTCCGGGGAGAGCGGATATAGTGAATGCAGGGTCCGGGGAGACCAGATATAGTGAATGCAGGGTCCTGGGGAGACCAGATATAGTGAATGCAGGGTCCGGGGAGACCAGATATAGTGAATGCGGGGTCCGGGGAGACCAGATATATAGTGAATGCGGGGTCCGGGGAGAGCGGATATAGTGAATGCAGGGTCTGGGGAGACCGGATATAGTGAATGCAGGGTCCAGGGAGACCAGATATAGTGAATGCAGGGTCCGAGGAGACTAGATATAGTGCATGCAGGGTCCTGGGAGACCAGATATAGTGAATGCAGGGTCCGGGAGAGCGGATATAGTGAATGCGGGGTCTGGGGAGACCAGATATAGGGAATGCAGGGTCTGGGGAGAGCGGATATAGTGAATGCAGGGTTCGGGGAGACCAGATATAGGGAATGCAGGGTCTAGGGAGACCAGATATAGGGAATGCAGGGTCTAGGGAGACCAGATATAGTGAATGCAGGGTCCTGGGAGACCGGATATAGTGAATGCAGGGTCTGGGGAGAGCGGATATAGTGAATGCAGGGTTCGGGGAGACAGGATATAGTGAATGCAGGGTCCAGGGAAAGCAGATATAGTGAATGCAGGGTCTAGGGAGACCAGATATAGTGAATGCAGGGTCCGGGGAGACTAGATATAGTGAATGCAGGGTCCGGGCAGACCAGATATAGTGAATGCAGGGTCCGGGGAGACCAGATATAGTGAATGCAGGGTCCTGGGAGACCGGATATAGTGAATGCAGGGTAAGGGGAGACCGGATCTAGTGAATGCAGGGTCCGGGGAGACCAGATTTCGTGAATGCAGGGTCCTGGGTTTAGCATCACTTTAAGTAGGATAATAAAAAAAAGAAAAATGTGCAAAAATATAAATATAAAGCCTTTTTTTTTCTAAAACATGCTGACTGTGAACCTTGCTAAGAGCTCATGCACAATACGAACACCATAATATTATCATTAGGTTAGGAGGGGCCTGATCCTGGGAGCTTACAATCTAATCTATATCTATTTATATGTCTTGCAGCTTATTAATTGTTTTTAGGGATTGTGTCTTTGAAGAATAAAGACTTTTTGAGTGTTTTTTGCTAGTATATATTCAGCATATTGATTCTTGTGAGAGATGTATTTATGGGAAAAGGAGGCCTTATTTCTTTTATTTATTTCAGGTACTTATATAGCGCCATCAATTTACTCCACGCTTTACATATATATTGTACATTCACATCAGTCCCTAACCCTCAAGGGGTGTACAATCTAAGGTCCCTAACTCACATTCATACATACATATACTAGGGACAATTTAGACAGGAGGCAATTACCTACCAGCATGTCTTTGGAGTGTGGGAGGAAACCGGAGTACCCGGAGGAAGCCCACGAGGGCACAGGGAGAACATGCAAACTCCAGGCAGGTGGTGCTGTGGTTGGGATTTGAACCAACAACCCTAGTACTGCCAGGCAAAAGTGCTCACCATTTAGCCAGGGGCGTATCTACCGCGAGGCAAACAAGGTGTTTGCCTAGGGCGGCAATTTTTAGGGGGGCGGAAGAAGGGACCTTTTGAGAAGCGGCAGACAGAGCCATGCAGGGCCGCCATCAGAGGGGTACCTTCAGTACTCTTGCAGTGTCCCGGGACAGCAGGAGGATTGATGTGGGGGAGGGCAGTTGCAGAACGATGCTCCTGTACCTCTCCCTCCAGCAGCTGGAGAGCCAGGACCAGGGGACAGCCTGGAGCAGGGAGAGGAGAGGACCCGGAGGAGGTGAGCTGTGTTGTGTTCTGTGGGATCTCCCTCCCTACACTGACAGATTGTATGGGACTGCACACACCAACCCCCTCCCTCCTTCCTGCTACCCTGAGATCAGCAGCGGTATGTGTGTGCAGCCCCATATGATCTGAGAAAAGAAGAAAGAGAGAGAAAGAGAAGAGAGAGGAGAGCAAGAGGGTGGAAGAGAGAGAGAGAAGAGAGAGGGGGGGGGAGAAAGAGGAGAGAGAGAAGAGAGAGGGGGGAGAGAGGGGGAATAAAGAGAGAGAGAGAGAGAGAGGGGGGAGAGGGGGGAGAGGGGGGGGAGAGGGAAGAGAGGGGGAAGAGAGAAGATAGAGGAAGAGAGAGAGGGAAGAGAGAGGAAGAGAGAGAGGGAAGAGAGGGAAGAGAGAGAGAGGGGGAAGAGAGAAGAGAGAGGGAAGAGAGAGAGGGAAGAGAGAGAAGAGAGAGGGGGGGGAAGAGAGAAGAGAGAGGAAGAGAGAGAGGGAAGAGAGAGAAGAGAGAGAGAGGGAAAGAGAGGGGGGAAGAGAGAAGAGAGAGGAAGAGAGAGAAAGAGAGAGAGGAGAGGAAGAGAGGGTGGGGGGGCGAGAGTGAGGGGGGGGAGAGAGAGGGGGGAAGAGAGAGAGGGAAGAGAGAGAGAGAGAGAGGGAAGAGAGGGGGGAGAGGGAGGGGGGAGCAGAGAGAGGGGGCGAGGGAAGAGAGGGAGAATTATATATATATATACACACACACACTTATTGACTCTCTCGCTCTCTCATGGGGGGGCCAACATTTTTGTGTTGCCCAGGGAAGCACAAAGTCTAAATACACCACTGCATTTAGCCACTTGTGGTGCTGCATTGACTATACTTTGATTAATTATGTGGGACACATAGGTCCTGTTTACGTCTGAGTGAGGTGGAAACATGTGCATGTCTGTCTGTTTGTGCCTGTGTTTAAATGCGCTAAAACATGTGATGCGTTTGCAATGCCATTATTTCTTAATGGGACTCCAAATGCAGGTATCAGTCATGTGTCCTGTCACACATTTTCCATGCAAAAAAGTGCACTTGGCAAGAAGCCAAAATTAGGTACTTGAGCAAATTTGGTGCATTTTGGCGCATTTGGCAGGCAGCCAATTCAACTCAATGGGCTGTCGAACTAAAAAAAAAACGCCAAACAAATGCTAAAAACACGCATTGCAAAACACGTTGCTATGCTGACTGTAGATGTACATGTATCTGGAGGATCTACTGATATTTGGGTTTGTACAAGGTATCTACTGGGTCTGAGTACCAGCGCTTGGTCTCCAGTAGTTTGGATTACTTCAGATAACATTGACCATCAGAGGAAACATGTTTTTCTTTCTTTGTACAAGGTATTTTTACTATTCCATGGTCAACCTTGTTGGCCTAAAACAATTGCTTAAAGTGAACCTGTGCATAGACTAAGCACACTAAAATATTTAGAGATTCTGAGCTAGCACTTTCAAACAAGTCCTTATTCACCTCTGCAGCTGCAGACATAGTGGAGAAGTTCATCTTCAATATTCACAACAGAAACATCAAAATCTTCGTTTTTTTCCCCTATTGCCAGTCAGCTGCACTCCTTCTTACTAAACACAGGAGGTCGGCAGCTCAGAATAGGCACTATCCAAAGAACGCTTTGCATTCTTTGATTGGATGAGGCAGAAAGGGGAGGCTGTGACATCATGCTCTCCACCTCATCCAATCAGAAAAAATTTTGCAACCTTTCAGAAAATACATAGAGTTTTCTGAATGGCGCTAGTACAGAGCAGACAACCTCCTGTATTCAGAATTCGGCAGGGCAGCCTCTCAAGGACCCGAAAGCTAGTGGAGATCACAGGGTTAGTGGTGTCTTCTATACAGTGATTTCCATCTTCCAGGAGCATCGGCCAGGTATGGTATATGCATAGTTACAGTGATCCAGGCTGGACAAATGTAACTCTGTATAATATAGCCATTCCTGGAATTCTTCTTTAACTTTCAAGATCTTTGATGCATTTTGAGAATGAATTACTTCACAGTACAAACAGTTAGAGAGGTGAGTGAGGACTTATTATTATTATACAGGATTTATATAGTGCCAACAGTTTGCTCAGCACTTTACAATATAAACTTGTGTTAAAGCTATTTTGCTATTTGTTAAGAACATGTAAATCCTACTTTTACTAACCATGGAACACATATGTGTGGTGGCCAAGGGGGGTAGGTGGACCTTAAGGGCCACGTGTCACACAAATGCGTCCATGGTGGCTGAGGTTTCTGTGCTGATAGTGTGCACCCTGCCCGAACTGTCATTGACAGCTCCTGGTCTCTAGTTAGGATCAGAAACCGGCGGGATGGGCTTCCAATCATGTGACCATTGTGACAGCCCCCCACCTTAAGACCTAGTTAAGGGGTCATAGCGGATAGCAAGGCGTTAATGTCCATAGTCTGTTAACAGGTGCACTTTGATTTTTCAAAACTTGTGATTTTTCTATCATTATTTGTTATTTCTTGTTAAACTTGTGCAAATGTTGTCTGCAGGTACTAAGAAAAGGCCGCCCTTTCCCCCTTCTTATAGTGCCCCCCAGTGGTGGATACTGGATAGAGGGCACCAACCACTCCTTGTCTTTCTCCTGAGCCCGACCTCTCCCCTCCATATGACAGACTGCGGATCCTCCAATCCGATCCCACGGCTCGATTCTACAGAAAGCACTTCATGGGCAAGGTACAACCATTTCATCCCTTGACTTTATTTTTTACACTATGAATGTATACAATACAGTTGCAAAAGAAAAAGTATTGTGAACCCCTTGGGATTACGTGGAGTTTTGCATGAATTGGGCATAAAAATGTGCTCTGAACGTCATCTAAGTCACAACAATAGAAGAAACATCTGTCTGCTGAACATAATACTACACAAACATTAGATGTTGCCATGGTTTAAATGCACATAACAAGTAAACATTCACAGTGCAGGGAGGAAAAAGTATGTGAGGCCCTAGCTTAATGACTTCTCCCAGAGCTAATTGGAGCCAGGAGTGAG